ATTATTTTTCTAAAAAATAATAAACAAAAACAATTAAAAAAAAACTCGATCATTGATGTGATTCTACAGAAATAAATGAATAATTTCACAAGAATAAAAAATGAAATAGACGAGAGGAAGAAGACTCCTCCATCACAACACCACCACCGTGGATATTGATTGGTTAAAGAATAACAACTAAGGAGATCGGGAAAGTTTTTTTTTTTTGCCCCGGACTATTTATTTCATCTTATTTATTTATTTGTCTTTTCTCAATCCGTTTAAAGATAATTGCTTTGTTTGATCATTTTACTGTATATTCGATGTAATTTTCACGACATCATCGTCGTTTTTAACCTTCGTATTCCCATATTTTTGTCTACTCAATGTCAGTACTCACTCTTGCACCTATTCATATTCACTCTCAATACTCGTATCATTGTATATAGTTTTTATTAACAGTAGCGTAAAAGTAGTGTTCCAACTTGTTTTGAGATAAAAAGGACGAAGTGGAAGTAGAGTAGAAAACGACTAAGAAACTCGAAAAGAGAATAAGAGAGTAGAAGAGTTTATATATTTTACACAAGGGTAACGTTGTAATTTCATATTTGAAGTAAATAATTTGGTAACTTTGTTTACCACATGGTTAAAACTTAAAAAATCGAAAGTTTGTAAACATTAAAAACAATTTATTAAAAGTATTAAACAAAAGTCGCAAATTATTTATAATTTTCATTATTATTATTTAAATAAGTTAATTAAACAAAAAAACATAAAACCATTATCAAACGCCAAAAATATTTCGTTATTACAGAGAAGATTTATTGGGCAAAAAATAAAAGCCCAGCCCATAAAAAAGGGGTCCATAATTGGGTAAAATTTGAGCCTATTGGGCCAAACATTCAGCCCATTAAGGTTGTTGACTTTTGTTGACTGTTTCCTAATTTAGTGGACAAACCAATGGCACACCGACACGTGGTCCAATAAACGTAAACCCATTTCAACCGGGAAAAACGGAATAAATGGAATTATTAAAATTCCTAAGTTTTGTCCCACTTTTTTTTTGTTATTATTGAATCAAATAATTGGTTTAATCTAAATTGATGGTAAAAAACTTTCAAACTTTTACTCATAAAGATAAACGACGTTAATATTATTTAATTTTTTTTTTAAAGATATGGTAAAAATATTTTTTAACCATTAACTCACAATTTTGTTTTAATTCAAGGGAATAATAAAGGTAAAATTAAGGAGGAGTAATTTTTTCATTCATATGGAGAGGTAATTTTAGCGTGAAAAAAGAAAAAGTAAAAGTAATAAATAAGTAAAATTCCAACTTTGGGCATGGTGAGCATCGACGTAACGCAACAGCATAATGCATAAAGCCAGGGAGTCGATCACAGCCTCCATAGAACCATCCACTCCTCAGCTCTCTGAAGCCCTTCTCATGGCTTCACGCAGACTTCTCTCCTCTCTTCTCAGATCATCCGCCGGAAGAGCTTCCTCCAGATCTCCTCTCTCCAATCCCAATCCAAGAATTTCACCCACTACAACTTCACGCGCTTCTCCTTACGGGTATATTCTCTCTCGCGTGGCTGAGTATGCGACTTCTGCTGCGGCGGCTGCGCCTCCATCACCACCGCCTCCGGCGAAGGATGCCGCAAAAGGAGGGAGGATTACTGATGAGTTTACTGGTGCCGGTGCGCTTGGACAGGTGTGTCAGGTGATTGGTGCTGTCGTCGACGTGTGATCTCCTCTCGAGGTGCTTGACAACCCGATCCGTTTAGTGCTCGAGGTTGCTCAGCATTTGGGGGAGAACATGGTTCGGACTATTGCTATGGATGGGACTGAAGGGCTTGTTAGATGACAGCGCGTGCTCAATACTGGTTCTCCTATCACTGTGAGTTTTGGTATTTGCTTCATCGCTACTCATTTGATTAGGTTAAATGGCGTTTTCTTGTTTATTTACGTTTTGACATTTGGTTGTGTCGTCATATCGGTGTGGTATGAATGAAGTGGAGATGGATTTCTTTTTCGCATGACATGGACTTGGTGATCAATGATATCCTCAGATCCCTTTATTATTGTTACTTTTCTACAAATTTGTACACAATGTAAGATTTTGTGTTAAATTTGAGCAGAATGAGTTGATGTGGACAACTATTGTAGGGAATTATAATTCAGTAGTTCGACTTATTTCCCCTTGTTATGATAACTTCAATGTAAGGAAAGTCTTCTAGACCTGTTCCTTTGTGAAATATTTTAGTTTTAAGGAAGGCTAATGCTTAATAGAGGAGATATGAACATTGTCTAATTTTTACCAAATCTCGTGATCCGGTTTACTATCTTTGATTGAATGGTGAACTGGTATTTTGTAGATGGTCATGAATTCTGTATTTTCTGTTGAATCCCGCAGCTGATGCACGTTCTTGAGTTTGATTGCTTCTTCCACAGATCAAGACATCATGCGTTTTATTATGTTTCGCTCCTATCTTTTATATATTACGTTTTGCTCTGCCTTTTGGACAATTTGTTTCTTGGTTATCCATGTTTTTTAGCCCAACTTTTTTCAGGATAATTCATGGGATTTTTCTTTTCTAACATTTAAAGACTTGACAGGTGCCTGTTGGTAGGGCTACACTTGGCCATATCATGAATGTTACTGGAGAACCCATTGATGAGAGAGGCGATATTAGTCGGAAATTTTGAAACTACGCAAGTAATTATGATGATTAATTTGGGTTTGGGATAGAGGGTTCATAAATATGTTGTGTTTTAACAGAGACGGACCACTTCCTACCAATTCATAGAGAAGCTCCAGCATTTGTTGAGCAGGCAACTGAACAGCAAATTATTGACACTGGAATCAAGGTACAATAATGGATTTAGAACGAGTCTGTTTATGCTTAGATGAGATGATTAGGTGTGGTACGTGTGCAATGAAGTCACGCATAAAGCTTTTTTGGTCATAGGCTGTTGACCTTCTTGCTCCACACCAAAGAGGTGGAAAGATTGGGCTGTTTGGTGGTGCTAGTGTTGGAAAAACTGTTCTAATTATGGAACTTATTAACAATGTAGCCAAAGCTCATGGTTGGTTTTATGAAATGCTTCTCAAATAAGGCTTTACTTCTAAATTATTAGTGTATTTAGATCTTGCCTTTCTCCTTTGATCAGGTGGGTTTTCTGTGTTTGCTGGTGTTGTGAAGGCAATGACTTGTACCGGGAAATGATTGAAAGTGGTGTCATTAAGCTAGGTGACAAGCAGGTACCAGAAGTTCTTCTTCTCCATTTCTTTCCTGCCCAAAAAGAGTAATTGTACTTCATCTTTGCTAGGCCGATAGCAAATGTGCCCTTGTCTATGGTCAAATGAATGAGCCCCCAGGTGCTCGTGCTCGTGTTGGTGTTACTAGACTAACTGTGGCTGAGCACTTCCGTGATGTGAAGGGCAATGCTTCTCTTCATCGTCAACATTTTCCGTTCTACCCAGGTAAGCTTGTGCTCCGAGGTTCTTATTGATGCTCTGTTTTGTTAAGATCTTACTGTGCCATTGTCAAGTTGAGAATCATATTAACGGCTTGTCTTATTTCAAATTATCCTTTTTCTTCTGTCTCACAGGCTAACTCAGAAGTGTCTGCTTTGCTTGGTCGTATCCCATCTGCTGTCGGTTACCAACCAACCTTGGCTACTGATCTTGGAGGCCTTCAAGAGCATACCACAACCACAAAGAAAGGTTCTATCACTTCAATTCAAGCTATCTACGTGCTTGCTGATGACTTGACTGACCCTGCTCCTGCTACCACTTTTGCTCACTTGGATGCCACAACTATGTTGTCACGACAGGTGCAATCAGGTTTAATTCTGAGATTATTTCATACGTTGTATTCTACCCTATCTGACTGTTTTCCTGGTAAACAGATCTCTGAGCTCGGTATCTATCCTGCTGTTGATCCATTGGACTCTACATCTCGAATGCTTTCTCCTCATATTTTGGGTGAGGAACACTACAAATACTGCTCGTGGAGTGCAAAAGGTGCTTCAAAATTACAAGAACTTGCAAGATATTATTGCCATTTTGGGTATGGATGAGCTTAGTGAAGATGACAAGTTGACGGTTGCACGTGCTCGTAAGATCCCCAAAGGTTCTTGAGTCAGCCTTTCCATGTTGCAGAAGTCTTCACGGGTGCTCCTGGAAAATACGTGGAGTTGAAAGAGAGCATTACCAGCTTCCAGGTATCTTTCAGGCCTTATATTTGATTACTATTTGGCTTTTGAAAATGGGTATTGATTTCTCACAAACAGTACTTTGGTGTTTGTATGAATAGGGGGTGTTGGATGGAAAGTACGATGATCTTTCAGAGCAGGCATTTTACATGGTGAGGTGATTGGCAAGGCAGAAAAGATTGCCAAGGATTCTGCTGCTGCTTAGTTTACCATTTTTGTTCTTCCTTCAGCTTGATAATTATGAAAATTAATAACTTAGGAGGTGCTGGCGAATTAATACAGAGTTTTCAATTTTTGGTTGAGATGCAACGCAACCAGAGATATCTTCTGCTCTGTTCTAAGTTTTGATGCAGAATCGGGACGAGAGTGTCACCAGCATCATAATACGGCTTCTCTGTGTGCTCCTTTGCTCTGTTCTTTTTAACAAGGGGAGGAAACAGCAGGACATGTACAAATTTTGCCATAACATTTTACCGTATAATCAAATCCCTTCTATATTCATGTTAGTCGAATTATATTTATGTTAGTGCATAAACGACGTAGTTTTTCATCTTTTTCTTAAGTTGCTCAAGAACTTAAAATATATGTTAATACAATACTCTTAGTCAATGTATATGTTTGTATATATAGAAAACATTACAGCAAAAATGGCAGGAAATTAAAGACAGAAAATCGAAACAGACCCAACGGCTGAGAGTATGCTACAAACTAATCTCATCGATCTAGTTATCCTCCAGCATCCAAGGATGGTTTGTAAAGGCGCCACGTGGAACTCCAATTAATCTTTCTCCTCCCGATTATTTGGTTTTAGCGGCGCGTTCTATCAAATCGCCACCTCATTGCAACCTGACCATCTCGCCAAAGCCGCCGGCTTTCTTCGTCCCTTTTCCGCCGTCAACGCCAAACTCCGGTATATAACTAAGCTCCATCTCCATGTCGATATCCATTTCCTTCCCTAATTCTTCTCTCTCTCTCTCCCTTTCCCTTCCCTCCTCTCTTCCCCATGCCCTCTTTCCCTCTCCTCCCTCTTCCATGTCTCTCCTCCGCCGCTTGACGCCCGGCAATCTTAGATTTAACCTCCGTCAGCGCTCCGGCCGATTCGCTACCGCTGCTGCTGCAGCCGTACGTCAGGACACCGCTGCTTGGACTCAAGCTCCTCTCGCCCAAGTTGAGCCTGCCGCGGAGTCACTCTTCCATATTTCCATAGACGTGTCAGACGCGCCGGACCTCGCTGCTTCTCACACGCGTGCTGGTCAATACCTGCAGCTTCGTGTCCCTGACGTGGAGAAACCGACGTTCCTTGCCATTGCGTCTCCTCCGTTACTTGCGTCTGCGGAAGGCGTCTTTGAGTTCCTGGTGAAGAGCGTGGAGGGCTCAATCGCTGAGCTTCTCTGTGGATTGAAGAAAGGAGATGTCGTACAACTCAGTCAGGTCATGGGGAAGGGGTTCGATGTCGATCAAATCGCGCCGCCTCAAGATTACCCTACCGTTTTTATTTTTGCTACTGGATCTGGAATCAGGTGCGCGCTCATTTCTCGTTTTAGAACTTCATTCTCCTCTTTTGGCTTAACTTATCCCAACATGCTTTGTTTTCTAGTTTTCTGTTCTTCGTTGATTTTCTTCAAACATATGGATGTTCTCGTACAAATAATAACGAATTAGAATCAGAAGATTGTGAACTTCAATTTTGGTTAATGTTTATATGCGCTGTAAGGTTATATATCGATTTTGTTTCCTTTAGCTTTAGCTCCTGGTGTAGAAAACGGAAATTCAAGAGCAAAAAGTCGCCATTTCGAGTGGCTTGTTAAGGTCAGGGCAGGAGATTGTTAAGTTGGACAACGATAGAGAGTTTGTAATTGTACTTTCTTTGTATGGAACTCAGATCCCTCGACAAAAACTATGACAAAACTGGGAGCGGTTCATATTTTTCATCTCCTATATGTCTGAAGTGTCTAAACAGTGGATAAACTCTAAAGACATTAATGCAAATTTTAGGGTGTCTTGTAAAAATGGCGTATATATTTGAGATGAGATCAAGATCAGTATTGTAGTCCTACCGTTGTAAGCATCCTTCTGAGCAAACCCAAAGTTGTTGAAACCAATATTGTCCGAGAGATTGTTCAAATTAAAAGTTTGAATGTGTCGGAACATAGCTTCTGTCCAGAGTTCACTCAACTGAAAATTATATCATCGTCTTTGTAGTTGTAACTTGATTCGAAGTTGCTAACCCAATTCACAATCAGATGAAAAATTGAACTTCCCCTTTTCTACCGTTGTGATTAACAATTGAATCTTCATTATAAACGTCTTAAGTTAGAATATGTTTCCTTTTGAAGTTCGCTTAGGAGATAGGGTTGGAAGTGTAATGAGACGTGGAACGATACCTCTGTGTACTCCTTCAATCTCCCTAGGAGAGGATATGGGGGCAGAGGGTTATTTGATTCTTGTTTTTGTAGTGATTGCTCAGTGTTTGAGTTTACCATATAATCGTCTTGGATATTTCCTCTTTGTACGATCGTTTTAATAAATAAGCATTGCTATACTTATCAATTATTGTTTGTCACATTGTTATTTTTACGTAAACGATTTTCCTTTTCATTAACTAAACAAATCATCAGGCTACAATCTGGTCATATTTTGTGGTCATGGCTTATTTTGTATAGGATGCGATGGTAGTAGGTCTTGTTTTTCATTTGCTTTATAGTGCCCAGTGCTCAAGGGATATATTCCTTAGCTATAGGATATGATGTTGCTACGCTTTTGCTGCTCAATGTGTCCAGTTGTCTCACAGTAAGGGAACTTTGGTATACTTTATTGTGAACAGTATCAGCCATATGCAGTAGAAATAACTTCAGTTTTTTACTTTCCGTTTGCTTTGCTGGTCTGACTGTTTACTTATCGATTTTGTGTAGTCCAATACGATCTCTAATTGAGTCAGGCTTTGGCGCAAGTAAGAGGTCTGATGTGAGGCTATATTATGGTGCAAGAAACCTCAAAAGAATGGCTTATCAGGTCTAGTTAATATTTACTTGTTGCATTGCCGCTTATTATCTACAGAAACAAGATCTGTGAAACTCATTTGTTTCTTTCTTTTATAGGATAGATTCGATGAGTGGGAATCTTCTGGTGTTAAGGTTGTGCCTGTATTGTCACAACCTGAGAATGATTGGACTGGTGAAAGTGGCTATGTTCAGGTAGGTCTCCATCTCCTTATTTAGTTCTGTTGAAATTGTGGGAATGTGGGTTAACGCCTGCCGTTTTTTCCCCCTTCTTATAGGCTGCCTTCACGAAAGCAAAGAAAGCTTTCGACCCTCGTTCGTCGGGTGCTATACTCTGTGGTCAGAAACAGATGACTGAGGTACCCTGTGCTAGTTCACTGTTCTTCTTCTTATTATTTATTATAAAATGAAAGAATACAAAGACATACATAAAATAAGTCCAAACAAAAAGAGCCTCAAAACAAATTATAGAAAGAGACTCCAATCTGAAAACAGGACCAATATCACAAGTACAAAAAGGCCTAGTGATCCTGCCCAAAGAGCAATAAATCTAGCCACCTCCCTACCTTCCTCATCTGATCTCTCAACCTCTCGTTGCTGTTATTTCTAGATTGTGCTATTATATGATCCTGAACCACTGCTATGAAGGAAGGGTAATGTCAAGGTCATCCTGATGTTTGCTTGGTGTAGTGCTATTATATGATTTGATTACTCGAGGACTCGATTCTTAAAATTGCCATTTGTTCTGCTTATATTGGTTGTGAATGAATGACCTAGTGGAATCATTCAGTTGAGAAAATAATGAACAAGTAATTTAGTGTTATATCCTGGCTAAAATGATAATCTCTAAAGCAAACACTCATTTTCTCATCGTTTTTGCAGGAAGTTACATCAATTCTTGTAGCAGATGGAGTCTCTAGTGAGAAGATACTAAAGAACTTTTAAAAAAGAAACAAACAGATGATAGCATTGTTGTAATCCATTAGGTCGAAGTTGTTTATAATCATTTGTTTCACCCTACTGCTGAGGGTAAGCACCTCAGCTTGGACAAGATAAAAAAAAAAAAGTATTTTGGGGAATAGAAACATCTACAATATTTATGTCCAAATTTTTCAGGACTGATGCGCCAAGGTGTAGAACTTCTACCTCCCATCTGTTCTCATTTGGAGGTCAGGTTCACACGTACTATTAGAAATTTCTTGGAACTTCATATTTTTGCAATAAAATTCTCCATATTTGAAGATCCTATAATTTATAATTAAGGTCAGAAAAAGCTTCATTTTGATTAGGATACCATGCCATTCCCATATTGCGTGATTTTGCTGGTCTATTGCTAATGATATTTGATTGCTAACCACTTCAAACTCATCAAATAGATGGTTTTTATGGAAGATCAATAGGCGTAGAGGATATTTGAAGATTGGCCATGAGGGTCAGCTCGGCTCTCTGTTATCTTATCCCGAGCTAGGATGTTCTACGCATTGTCACCAGCAGGTGCATAAAAACTTCTGGTAAGGAAATTGCATCATATTCATCTTAATTGATAAATGATGTTAAGCATATGACCAATTTTTGGTCTTTCAAGTCCATTTATCATAGGAATACTAAATTCTTTTAAGTATACAAGCAGTAGAAGTGTACGAAAGACCACATGAACACAAGAAGGCCAATAAAACTTAGGCAAAATGTCTTAGTTATAAGAATTTAATAGCAGCAGATTTACAGCCAAAGGTTATGTGGCCTGAATAAAGTGTGATACATAGATGTAAATCCTAAATCGCCTGCAAGAACTGTCTTCACAATGATACAGTAACAATTCACATGAAACGAACATGCACAGGAACAATCAACCAATATCTGCAAGAATCATAAAGTAGTATCTCCCATCATCTCATCTAGTATTTGGGGTTAATGAGAATCCTTAGCACGACCATGGTTATTTCCATCAGAGTTATTGTCAGCATGTTCTTCATCGATCTGGGTCAAACCACCGGCACCTGAGTGATGGTGCCGGTGTTTGTTAGGGTGGCTACTCTTGTGCCTGTATTGTAATGCTGAATCTTCACGATCAGCATCAGATAACCTCCCTGAGGCCTGGCTTCTAGCATCACACCTCCAGTGATTACAATCTAATGAATCAATACTACATGATCGATGGGACTGCTCGTGTTGACGATGCCTTCCACGCTTTTCCCTTCGATTATTATTCTCACTGCTAGAATCATCAGATGATGAATAGCCAATATGTCTATGATGTCTGTTATGCCTGGAACGACATCTTTTTCTTGTCTCAACATCATCATCACTAGAACTAGAGTAACTTTCATCAGAACTTGAATTGTCATGCGCATGTCTTCTATGGTTTCTCTTCTTCCTCCTACCTTCATCAGAGTGTCCATCAAATTCATCACTGCTGTCATCGTGAGATGATTGATGTCGTTTCAGCTTTCTCTTAGATCTTCTATCTTTCCTCTTCTCACTGTCACCTGAATCAGAGTGGCTATGTCTCCTGTGTTTCTTATGAGTTCTCTTACCTGCTTTCCTTCCTCGCTCATGGCTATCACTTTCTGTATCAGTATCAGAATCTGATACTGATCTTCTTTTATGCTTGGCAGCTTTAAGCTTCCTTGCTTTGGCTTCAGCAGCCTCTGCCTTAGCAGCAGCTTCAAGTCTTTGTTCCCATTTCAATGGGGCTTCCTTCTTCTCCAAAGCTCTCCTCTTCTTCTCCTCAACCAATTGGATGAATTTCTTGGTGTCCATTTAGATATAAAAACCAGCTCAAAACCTGCATTTTGGTATGATGATGACCGGAAGTGCATCTCACAAAAGAGAAAAAACAATGTTAGTTCTTCCCACCTAAGCTGAAATCATATCCCATTCCACAAAAAGAAAAGATTGAAGGATGCTACAACAAAAATGACGGACCACAATATTTTAGTAGAAGAAAATTATTCCAAATGTAGTTCACTTTCTTACCTTATCTGCAGAAAATGAGTTCAGCCTTCAGGATAAGAATTCAGCTCCCCACAGCCAACTTCAGGCCTACGCACTACACATATGCACAGAAAAATCCACAGATTATTAACTATGACGAAGATCAAACAAGTCCACCTCGATGGTGTTAAGAAAAACTGTAAAGCCATGCTGCACATTCCCCACTTGGTTCTATCATAATGAATCTTCAACTAATCTGCCCTATAATTTAAAGCAATCCTACATCTTTTTATTACAAACACTCTATGAACAGCAAAATTCTCGTAAACCCACAAAACAAAGAACCCCAGAACCCTTAGCCAAGTGGGGGTTTGTTCAGAAGAGATCTACACGGTGAAAAAGAAAACAACCACCCCCACACAAATCAACCAACCATAAAACTCAGATCTACCCAAAAAGGAAGAAGAACAGAAAAAACAAAACAAAACAATCGCTAGGTCTGATGATGAAAAGGCGTGATTAGGGGATTGGAATGTTACATACCTGAATCTGAAGGCGAGTGGAAACAAGATTGCAAGAGAAAGAGGAAGATGGAAGGATGGAGACGTAGAAGAAGAAGAAGAAGAAGAAGAAGAGTGGTTAGGGCTTGTCTTTGACTTTGTATCGACTGGGGAGTTCAAATTTCAGAAAGCTCCAAGGGATATGCCTAAATTGGAGAACAAATGCCACTTTTATATACGCGCCCTGCCGCCACCATCAACCTTTTCCCTTTCTTTTTCCTTTTCCTTTTACCAAATTTTAAATTTAGATAATTTTTTTTTTAATTTAAAATACAGTTTTAGTTTCTACATTTTATATTTTGTTCTTAGTCCCTGGAATTATTTTTAATAACTTTTTCCTTTTAGAATTAGAAAAACTGAGTCAGTTGGAAAAATTGATAGGTTTTATTCTAAATTAATTTTAGACACAAAAATTATGAAAAATAAACATTATTTATAATTTGCTTATAATTTGGGGAGATTGAATTAAAAGTATACTCATTTATAAAAGAAAAATAAAATTAACAACTTATTAGTATTTTATAAAATTAATAGATTTACTAGATACAAAGTTAAAAATTAAATTTATATGTTATATTTTATAGATTAATTAACTTAATTATTTTTAATATACTTTTGGACATCAAATTGAAAGTTTTTCGTTTTTAAAGTCCAAGAATCTATCTTAAAATCGAAAGTTCAAAAATGAAATAGAGACAAACTTATACATACATGCATTTAGCATAGGGGACTGAGTTAAAAACGAGAATGAAGACCATATATAGAGAGAGACAAACGCGCTATAAATTAAGCTTTGAATAATAATACTTTTAGAACTTACATTAAAAATAAGAAGAGAAAACCCAAAAATGAATCAACTTCGTAGTTCTAATGTTCTAGTTCTAATGTTGTTGTTGTGAATGAGAAGCTATAGTATTAGCAAACTCCATATTGTACAATAAAACTAAGCATTCATGATCATTGTCAAGATCGGCACTATACAAAGCCATTTGGGTGGGAAATCAATATTAAATACAACAATCACTCTGTAAAAAGATTCAATTCAAAGCACAACACCAAGCAACAACAACAATTGAAACTACCTATGCAACTATGTTCTTCTGATTCCTCTAGGTGCTGTTTCTTCAAAATTTCCATTCACTTTTCAAATCTATTTACACCTAACACACAGATGAGCATCAAAGACCCATGGATAATACAGCCCCCTAACACTTTTCAAGGTTTGTGTTGGGCATATATTGATGTCTGGACTGCCTGGTGAGCAGACGGAGCTTTTCCATTGACAAGAACTTGTTCTAAGAAATCGACCCGGATTGAATTGAACTGGTAATGCTGGTTCAATATATTCAAACTCTAAGCTCATTTACATGTCATTTTATGGATAAATGTGCAAATGAATTGTTATTTTTGGTGCAGTAATGAGCAATATTATTAAACATGCCATAAGACACTTAACAATCAAGCATCTAAATTAAATTAGACAGAAAAATATAATTGAAAATAATTGAGATAAATACCTTTCCCTTCCAAGAAAAATCAAAGTTGCGATAATACGGTTCCAGTAATGTTATCTGATCTCCTACCTTAACCTGGGAGGAATTTTTTTTCATAAGACTGATGAAAGATAACAGCACAAGGCATGGTTGTTGCAGGGTGCATTAAAGATTAAGCAAAGTAATCTTAACACGAGATCGGTATTGGCAATCAAATCGATAAAGTTGAAACATAAAACCTGTATTACTGTATCTTACCGTATCATTCCGCATACCATACAAAGATACAACAAAGCATGCTTGGTTTGAATCACACAACAAATAATATCTGCAAACCAAACAACAAAGTTGTGTGATAATCTTGGCAACAGACACGAATGCAAGATTAAAAGTACTACGCAACTTGTAGAATACAAGCAAACACTTCCTTTTTTTCTCTCAATCAAACCCCGACCCCAATTGAACTTACACAAGTACGGCACAGACAAGAGTACATAAATAAAAAAATCCACAACATTACAGGAGCAGAAGAGAAACAATATAGCGTAGCTGCTGTAATAGCTAAAACGTGCGCGTTAAGGAGTGGCTGGCTTTTGTTGATGGAAACCCAAACTTTCATAAGGACAAATGAAAGAAGTGTCTAGATGAACTAACTAACAAGGAAATTGGTTTCATCAGAGTCAATACGCATGGGAGAACTTACAGTGGGGCAAGACTATCATGCTTAATGAAGAACAACACCTTCCCAATTACTGCAACTGATTTGTTCAGACCCTCTGACAGAAGGTCTACAGTGGCTCTCTTGTATGACGAATTAGCTTAAAAAGTTAAAACAAACATAGAACAATCAGTAAATATTGAATAAAAGGAGGGAGAAAAAAGAACAAAATTTGATGATTAGTAAATTGCATATTCAGTGTAGAAGAGATTAATATGTTAAAGGTCTAGTTACTTACAACTAACAATATCCACTGATGATGAAAACGACGTGACTCTTCGTGTTTTAGCATGTGCCTAGAAGACAAAATAATATGAACATCATCTGTATACTAAGCCTCAGGAAAATCTGCATACATTTATTCAGTCATGTTATCATTTTCCTATTTTTCAATAAAATTAATGAAGTAGAGACTGGATTTGAGGTTTGTTTCGCATACATATTTTGTGTTTTGCAAATGAAAGAAAATGCATGAACCTAATGAGAAACTGAAATTAAAGAAGGTTTCTCTTTTCCTTTCTTAGTACACTCTTTGTAAGGACAGTAAGGAAGATGGTAAACATCTCTCTTTGGCCTGTGCTTACTCTAGGAGATTCTGATTGAGATTTTGCAACAAGTTCATTTTCACATGCCTCTTCCTCATTCAATTAAAGACTTATTGCTCACTACCTTGGTGGGCCTTTCTAGTCAAGGACTAAGGATGCAACTTTTGCTACTTCATGAGAAGCTTTGGATGGAAAGAAATAGGCAAATCTTCCACAAAGAGAGATCTTCGAGCGCTCTGAGTTGCACTCCTTTCTTATGTCTAGTTGGAGTTCTTTGATTTGTAGACACTTGGTTTTTTTTTTTTTTACATCCAATCGGTTGGAGAAATTTTTTTGTAATCTTATTGGTATTTAGATGGCACCCCACCTTACTTATCCACCCATTTTTGTACCTTCCCTTTCTCTTCTAAGACCACAAAAAATCAAAATATATAAATAAACTAAGAGGAAAAGTCTTTTCACTTCTTATTTCTAAGACCACTAATCATATGGAAGCCACATTTAAGAACCAGGCCACAAATCAAGATACAGAAAATGATTATAAACAACTATATGCACGTGTGAATGTATTTAAAAACAACAAGAGCTTGTGCCAACCAGGAAAAGAAAAGGAAACAAAGAAACAAAATCAACACGTAGTCAAAAGATGTGCAAGATTTATCATATTTATTCGCAAAGATGCGAGCATACCTTCAACATGTTATCCAATTTGTCAAGAAGATTCACCATCTTGTGGACCTCCCTAGTAGCGCTAAGACTAGGATCCTTCAAAGCAGCAGCCTCAAATCCACTTAGGGCCCTCTCATAGTTCTCCAGATATTTGTTAACCTAAAAGAGGAATGAGTCAGAAATTATGCATATATAAGAGAAGTTAATGAATTTGACTCTCTACAACAACAATATGTGAAGTGTTACAAAAGGTAGCAACGAGTAGTTAGGAATGAAATAAAAGTTTCCTCTTATCTTATTTGATTCACGTTCGACTTATAAACAAAAGCTCTCTACCTCTACCAAAAAATTAGGTCATTCTTTCCACTGCTTGCAACTACCATTTTCTTCCTCTCTTTCCTAAATTTGTGTCCTAATCATAATGGGGAATCTTACTCAACTCATACTTCAAAATCTATTGCCTAACATAAGAAACAAACCAAGGTGTTCACCTCAACTAATACATGGAAAGAATTTAGCACATATTCTCAAATGCTTGCAACCGCATTCTACTCTGAAACTATCCTTATTCACCCTCACAAATCTCTTCCTACACCGATTGACAATACACGGTATCCCTGTTCCTCAATTGACCAAACAAATTGACAGGCTAATCATGACCAATTTTTGTCCATTACATAAGAAATTTTTGTCGAGCTGAAACAGGCTCCATTCATTGATTGAATGACAGTAACCATAATATAATACATTTTAAGAAGGTTTAAAATTTAACTACTTAATAAACTTATAGAAAGCAAGCAATCACATTTGAGGTCAAATTAAACTGAAAAGGGAGGAGAAATTTAACTTACAGTTGCACAATTAAAATACAAGTCTGGATTTGACATCATTTTTTCATCTTTTTCCTGTAAAATAATATTAAAGATAAGCAAATTTTAAAGCCTCAAAATAAACCTGAAACTTACAAAAGATGCCTACCGCATTTTGATATGCCTTCAAAGATTGCAGAAGCTTATTATGATCCCACGCTCCAGTAACAAAAAAACTTGTGAGGCATGCATTTCCTAGATTATCTGCGAGACAAATTAGTGTGGATATGTGACGAAAATTGCAAGAGTAAGCTAGAAGATATAGGAAGACTGTATTCGACAACAAGGAATGAATATGCACATCAAAGAATGTTCCAGTTCTGAGCATGTTACAAGAAAGTTATCCAATCTATTATAGAAGACCTTACAAATAAGTTACTACAAAGATATGGCATATAAAGAACCCATGCAAGTCATAATTACAAATAAACATAATGTTATCACAAGCTTTGATGTGCAATCTTACACCAAGAGTTTCCATCCTTCACATCCAAAGTAACTGCTTCTTTTGCATGTTGAATGCTTTCTTCTACAAGTTTTGCCTCATTCTCAGTACCTATAGAAGGAACAAAATTTTGAATAAACAGATGAGATGAGCTGACATACATGTTCATTATCACGGTCAATCAGAAATTGTAACAAAACAAGCAAGTTAGTGAAATGAAAAATTCTATTAATTTGGAGGGCAAAAGAAAACTAGATCTATAACATTATGAAGTCTAAAGATTGCTTGTTTCGCTGACCAATATAACATGACATGCATGGTTTCCAAGATTAGCTTATATCAGTGGATAGTAGTCTAAACTTCATCAGAAAAGTTAATTCAAATTTTATTTTTAAAAAATTGAAAAATCAACACCATTCAGTAGCAAGATAAAAGAAAAACTCAATTTTGATGGTAGTATATTTTCATCAACACAAACAAATTAATAATGATAAGAAAGAAAGAAAGCAGACTATCTCTCATTTGTATAAAAATGAGGCTTCCCTCCTCTCAAAAAATTACTTTTGAATTGTCCAGACTAGTGCATAACACCCGCCTCAAAGAAGTCTTAATGCCCGAAAAAGGACGTTGCTTTTAAATTGCATAAAGTATACTTGGATGGTTTTCCTTTTTCTTTTTTCTTTTTTGGTTTGTGTGTGGCAAGGCAGAAGATATTCACCACATCTTTCTTCAAGGAATTCCAGGGAGAATTACAAGAGACCTTTATACTTGCTTGGTTGCTCATCATTCCCAAATGGAAAAAATGATCTTCCCGTTGGTTCTTGCTCTGGCATCTAGGAGAAGTTCAATATCATTTGTTTGATTGTAATATTGCATGTTTGCGGGGAGCTCGGAATGTAGGTAGGAAAGTTTTGGAGTTCAAAAACACTTGGGATTGAGTATCTCGCAACTTCTCTTTGGCAATCCAATATCAAAGAAATGTTAATACCAATTCTTTTATAATTGATAGTTTAAAAAAGCAAATTAACCTAATCTCTCTAGTCAAGACGCTTTCCCGTTTCTAGAAATATTTTCTAATTAACTGATACTCTCTCGAAAGCAACAAACAAGCTGCATCAAAGCACACACATTAAAAACATTTCCTTCCCTAGGCTATCACAATGAACTTCTAAGTAATCTTCCTTGTCCATTAAAAAAATAACCCTTTACAAGGAGGAAAATTCTAGGAAAAATTTTGAGAAATGGACAGGGTATTCTACTATTAAAGGTTACAATGAAAGAAGATGATGAAGGAGCAAAACACTTGCCTTGAGCCATTTTCCTTTCAAGCATTGATAGCTGACAAAGTAATTTTTTCTCTGGGCGCTGCAATGATAAACGTATCGTGCATTAATGTAATTGACTCAAATAGAAAGTGTATAATACAAGATGAAAAGAAACCAAGGAAATGTACAGTCATTTGGAACCTTGCTTAATGCTAAAGTAAAGCAGTTCTTTGCTGAAGATAGATCTCCTTTCTTCCAAATGCAGTTACCTAAACACAGCCAGGCATCCGCAAGAGAAGGATTCAACTTAACCTGGAGCTTGAAACAATCAAATTCATCACTCCAAACAAAAGCATACAAACTACAAAATCTTAATGATTTAAGACGCTTACAGCTTTGGAGAGATGATCCTCTGCTTCTTTTCTGTAGTCTGGAAATACGTCCAACATTTTTCCTCTCAGATATTCATACATAGCTCGCTGCAAAGGTGATTTCCTTTGTTCTGCCCCACGAAGAAACTTAACTAATAAGGAACAAAGATTTCTAGCTAGATCCAAGATAACATAAAATAAAAAGAACATGAACTAAATTAACTAGTCTCATAATTGAAAGCAGATGTGCTACAGAAACAAATCAACGAACAATTACGTTAGGACGCACTCATGTTATTACCAAACACAGGCCAATACACTAGACACCGAGCAACACTGCAGTAGCTTCCACAGCTAATGAAAACCTATTTTACCCGAAAGAATCAGCTAAAAGTTCAAGATATTCATAAATCAAACATCAAAGCAAGCACAGTGCCAAGATTCATTTCTGTTACTGCTCGTTTCCCAACATTTTCTCCAATACCAAAAGGTAAGGATAAAATCGCAAGTCGAGCTATTGCAATAAGAAAATTTGAAGAAGCTGAAATGAAAGCAGAATCGACCTGGAGAAATGGAATCGAGGATCTTGACAGCAAGATCCGATAGCTCCCGTAATTTGGAAAGTTTGTCATCGGAATTTACAGGAAAAAAGGTGTCTCTGATGTGATATAGCTCTTCGACCGCCGCTGTGGCTTTGTCGAATGTTTCTTCCTTGACTTCGCTGCACATCTCCTCCGTCAATCGGCCGACGGCGACAGTTCTCGGAGCAGAGCCCACCAGATGGGAGGCAGGCAAAAACTGTGTTGATATTGCTATATTGTTAAACTAAAAAACGACGCCGCTTTTTAGGATCAGGGGGCAAAACAATTAGTCCCATTTTAGGACCTCAAAATACATTACAACTCCACACATTTTTTAATTTTGTATTTAATACATAATTTACTATTATACTCCAAATTTTTAATTTTATGTTTGGCAGGTTTATGAATTTTTTTTTAATTAAAGATTAAACTATAATTTTAAAAGTTTATAACTAAATAAATAATTTAATCTTAATATTTATATATTTTATTCTCATACTTTTTTAATATTCTATTTAGTTATATACAAATTTGGTTTGCCTTTACCCATTTTACTTAACATATTACAACCGGAATTCAAATTATTGTTATTTTTTCTTTCTTTTTCTATTTTTCTTTATTTATTATTGTTCTTCTTCTTATTATTATTCTGATTTTGTCTTTGTCGTCTATTTATTAAGTAGTTTATATATACATACTGTTAAGGATATTTAGTAATAAATTATACTTTCCCGTATATATTATATTTGATATTTTATTATAAGGCAAATATCTAATATTTGCCTTATTACTATAGATATCTTTCCATTTATTGTTATTTCCATTTATTACTATTTCCATATCCTTGTAATTTATTCGATTATAAATAAGATAACTTTCACACCATTTAGGTGTGGTGGATTAATCAAACATTCACATGGTATCAGAGCCATTTTGGTTTAGCAACCTAGATCCTTTCTTTTCAATGGCTTTTGAAATCTTCTACTATTCTTCTCCACCACCACTGTTGTCTTTGATGCCGCAGAGGCAGTCGTCATGGCTGTCACATGCAGAGCCGATTGATTATTCTTCGGCTCCACCCTTTTGACCTCCAAATCATCCTTCGCCATACTCTGTACATACAACCTCACCTTTTCCAAACATAGCCTCTTTCATTTTCTTCCCAATTTTCCTTTCATCCTTCATCCTTCATCCTTCACAAAAACCCTAATCTTAGGATCTTCATCAGCATTTCTCTTCGAAAATATACAGAATCTCAATAAGCCCATTGACCTTCTGTAGAGATTTACCTTTGGAATCTGGGCGCCGCACTGGCATCTTCGCCAACCAAGTTGCCGCCGCCCTTCTCGCCAAAATTGGCTCCTTCGCCCCAATGTGGCGACTCTTCCAGCTGCCCTTCTCACCAAAATTGGCTCCTTCGCCCAATGTGGCGACTCTTTCGGCTTCAACATTGTCTTTGTCCCTTGCTCTAGGTTTCCCCTTCTACTTCTTGGGGTTAGACATATTCTCACCAGAGCCAAGGCAGCATCGTCGCTAAGCGACAATCCCTCTTCATGGGTTAGACATATTCTCGTCGAAGCCAAGGCAGCATCGCCGCTAAGCAGCAATCCCTCTGCAATTTTCGATGGCCAAGAAAGTGTTTCTCTACGCCTCCTCTGAACCAGGTTGTTGACATCTTCACGAAAAGTGTTTCGCAACCTCTTTGAATTTTTCAGATCCAAGCTTCACGTTCGTTCAAATCTGACGCTCAGCTTGCGGTGGGGTGTTAAGGATATTTAGTAATAAATTATACTTTCCCGTATATATTATATTTGATATTTTATTATAAGGCAAATATCTAATATTTGCCTTATTACTATAGATATCTTTCCATTTATTGTTATTTCCATTTATTACTATTTCCATATCCTTGTAATTTATTCGATTATAAATAAGATAACTTTCACACCATTTAGGTGTGGTGGATTAATCAAACATTCACACATACATATACATATACATACACACATGTATATGTATATGTATACGTATACGTATGTAAACTATTTAATAAATGAAATAAGTAAAAAGACAACTTGAAAACTTAAAAAACCCAACTAAATCTTTTTTAGCAACTTCAAACCTACCACTTCTAAATAAAAAAATTCAAAAAACATCTTTACCGTTAATATCATGTTTTAAAAATACTCATGAACTTTCAAAAATAACATTAAAAAGTTTGGAGATTATCTGTGATTTGACAGTTTTTTGTTTATATATCGATAATAAAAAAAAAACTTGTTCTAGAGGCAAAGGATGATAATGCTAATTTATGAGTATTTTTAAACTTAATATTAACCATAAAAATATTTTTTTAATATATATTTTTTAAATCGAAAGATATTATGAAATTTTTTAAGTTCGCTAAATCTTGATTTATTTAATCATTAATTATTAGGGCCTCCCAAACACATGAATTCTCTATAAATAGAAAATTATAATTATTAGGGCCTCCCAAACACATGAATTCTCTATAAATAGAAAATTAAGGGCTTGTTATTCAACAGTATAATTATTTTATTTATAAATTATCTAGATTAATCAGAATTTTTTTTTTTTAATTCTTTTCATTCATTACAAAATCGAATTAGACTTGATATATTATTTCGATATGATAAATTAGTTCAATATTATCATTAATATAGGTTGCCCGGGACTCGAACCCGGAACTAGTCGGATGGAGTAGATAACTCACTTTTTAAAAATTAAGTAAAAAAAATCCCTCCCCAAGGAATTGAGTAATAAAATTTTGAAAATTTACCAGTATCTTCTGGATAAAATATTTTAGGGACATTTTATTATTTTAGCTAATTTTGTTATATATATATAATAATTATGGGATGATAATCCAGTAATTATTAAAATATATAATTAATTACGTCCTATGTAACAAAACTGCATTGTCTAAGTTACTGTAATCTGGAAAAGGATATATTCATTTATTATTAAATATATTCGTTTATTATTAATAATTAAAAATGTATATATTTTTTTTAATGATTGTAGATTTAAAATTGAGACCTCTAAAAATTAACGAAAATTTTTAAACTATCAAAATATGCTCGTGTCAATTTGTTTGATATTTCGTGCATTTCAGTTTATTAAGGGACGTCTTTTTTAAAAATCAACAATAAACTAATTTTGATAACAAATGTAAGATTTATTTAAAGAATATGAAGCCCAATAAAATTGAATCAAAATGATACATAAACACACAAATATTCAATGACTAGGTTGCAAATTTATTTTTTACAAATATATTTTGAATTTACTTTTATTTTGGAGAAAACTTAATCTATAATTTCCCTAACATATACTTTGTAATAAATACATTAGAAATAACTTATATAAAAGAACGTTTTTTACTATAAAGATAATATAAATTATAAGTTTTAAATTTAATCATTAATTTTTAATTTTCACCCTTATGTCTTATATGTCATAAACTTTGAAAACCTGCCAAATTTAAACGTTTATTGAACATTAAATTAAAATTTCATAACCATTAAATAAAATTTTAAGATTGTAGTGTGGGTAGATCTACGTCACATCAAAAAAAATTTAAATTTGTAATTGAGGTTGATATATATATATACTTATTTTAATCTATTTAATCTTAACTATTATTACTTTTTTTAAAATGATTAATCCGTGCTTTACTTTCTAATTTTAAAATGTTCATTTTAATTTATATATTTTAAATTTAAAATCAAAATAAATGTTTTAAAAGTATAAGTACCAAAATAAAAGAGTACCCTCGTAAAACTTTAGAATTCAATACCACTTTATTCTATTTATTGAAAATTAATAAATAAAATAATATAAAGATCAAAATTATTTTTTAAAAATTAAACATTAAATAGTTTTTTTTTTTTTAAAAATTCAGAACTCCAAAGTTTTTTAAAAAACTAAATATAAATAATTTATTTTACTACTTTCAACATAAATGCATCTATTTTAATTGAACTTTTTTTATAGAGAAAAAATAAAATAAAAAATAAATAACGAAGAAAACCTAAAACTATACCCAAAATACAAATAATTGAAAAAAATAAAATAAGTCATAAGAATTATATATAATAAACCTAAATAATCGAATTTTTTAATTAAAAAAAAAAGAATTCAGAATAAAAGAAAATCGAAAACATTTATAATTAGATGAAAAATAATACAAAATTAAAAAAAAAAACAAAACGTACAAATAATAATAAATAAACAAAACAAAAGATGTTTTTATATGGGTTTAGGGTTGCATAAAAAATCTATATATATTTTTTTTCCGATTGAAAAAGACTTTTGTCACGCAAAACTTTAAAATACTCCCCGAAGCCCCAAAAGTGAATTTATAAAATGGTTGGCTCTTTTTTGGATCCAAAACCTTGAAAACAAAGGCCCTCAAATCACAAAATTACCAAAAATGACGAACTAGAAGAGAAACCAAACAGATTCCTAGAGATCCACCAAGAAAAACAAGCCCAACTGCACCGCCAATCGTACTCATCACCTCCAAGCACCCTGAAATTAGGGCAAAATTCTTCACAACCTTGCGATCCAACTTCGCGTCCCTCGTCGACCGATACCTCCATCCATTATCGATTTCGACTCCACCAAGCCGTTTCGGAAGCGGAATCCGCCGCTCTTTCTTCCTCAAATCCTCCATTCTCGCTTTCAACACCGTCAAGTTCGCTTCCACGATGTCCTTCTGGTTCGCTGCAGAACACACAAACAGATTGCGTTTAAGAACCAAAAGAGAAGATCGCCGATATTACACAGACAAATAACGGCCAGGACCTTCATCGCCGACGCCACCATGGCATCTCGGAGCTCTACGGTGGTCTGATGGCCTTCGCCGCCATGGAGACGGAGCGTAGAACGGAACGACGAGAGACGTGCAGAAGCCATTTTGCACCATGCTGTGTGTGTGTGTGTGTGAAAGACGATTTTATTCAAACATAAACCTTCTATTTATAATACTTGTGTGCTGTGACGACAATGATCAACCGCGGGACAAATAAAAGCACGATTAAATCCAAAAAAGAAAACCCTAGCAATGCGCGGTAAAAATAAAATAAAATAATTAATTTTAATAATTTAAGTTTTTTAAAACTAAAATACACACTAAGCGAAAATGTAACTAATTTTGAATTAATATTTCCAATTTATAAAAATTAATTAATAATTGATCTCCAAATAATATTAATTAGGATTAATAGAACCCTAAATTTTCTAT